GTAGTTGCAGTTTCTTAGTTATCCCGAAAAATGCCCTACAGGCTTCGTTGCAGCATCCATGCGGGGCATGCAGCTGGCTGGCTGGGTGGCTGGGTGGGTGGGTGTGTGGGTGTTGGCTGCAGCTCAAGTTAATTGGATTTGGGCAGAGTGCTGCCACGGGCGACCTTTGAAGGCTGTTCGCTGTGACGCTTGCTGCATTCAGAGTGTGTGTGTGTTAGTGGGTGGGTGGTTAGGGGGGTCAGTTGTAGTTCTAATGGCTCCAAGTGTCTTTTTAATGACACCTGAAGTCATTCGCCAAGCTTAAGCACTTGAACTATCTACGTAAAAGTTTCCCTCAGCAGACAAAGAAGAACGCGGAACTTCTGCTGCTTCGACACTTGGAGACTGTTCTGGGCCACAAATCGTAATGCACATTGACGCAAGAAAGCTGGCAACATAGCGGGAATTGAAGCAGACAGCAGCCATCCGCTCCATGGGTGTCTGCCCCGCCCCGCTCCACCCTCTTAACACGCCACATAAGTCAATTTTCAAGTGGATGTCCAACATGAATGAGTAATGTGTGGGGCGAGTGAGTGCTACAGTCAGAGTCATCGCAAGGGGATATGGGGATATGGGGGAATCTCCAGAGTAAGAGTCGGAAAACATTGCTCCAAATTAAATGGGGACTCAATTTCATAATCAATTTTTGTCTTAGTATCCTTCGTAGTCTACGTCTCTGTGCCACTCGCACACTCGTGCACTGCTAAGCATCTCCATTTGATACATATAGAGTCAAATATGCTTACCGTTTTGGGGCCTGGGGAGAGGCGGGGGAGCATGAACATAAAGTACATTTTGCCTCAGAGCCAGTCTCCGGGATGTGACGCAAAACTTGCCACCAAAGAACACCAGCCACACGGAGCTATGCCACAACAAAGACGTTGCACATAGGACTACTTGGATATGCATAAAACTATGCTACATTGGCACTAAAACAAACAGCAGAACGGCACATGGAGGTGGGTGTGGGGTGTCTGTGTCTGTGTATTTATAAATGTACAAGATGCTGGGTGATGATGCTGATGAAACATGCCCAGGCAAAGGTAACATAATCCCAGGGTTGAAGAACTTGATTGCAGGAGGGCAGGAACTAAACCAGGATATAAATTAATGTTAGGTTTAAGACTATACCTTGTGCCAGTCTATATGTAAAGAAATAGGAATGATGGAAATTATGAGCGTAAAATAATAATGCAAATGCGATTGGAACTAGTTCTAAGGGTCACTCAGCTCTGCTCATCAGCAGCTACATACAGAGTCGCCCTGCTCATCCCCCACTCAACCAAAGCTTTTATGTTGGCTGAGTAAATGTTTAAAATATTTGGGCTGCCTCAGCTTCTGCTTTTCCTGCTGCTGCTCCTCCTGCTGCTGCTCCTCCTCCTCCTCCTGCTGCTGCTCCTTCTGCTGCTGCTGCTCCTCCTACATGTACTCGTAGTTGAAGTTCTGCGCCCAAAATTATTAAGATGAGTGGCATAAATTATGAGCAGACCAGCAGCAGCAGCAGCAGCAGGAGGAGGAGCAGCAGCAGCAGACGACCGGGCACAGGACTCGTAAAAGCCGCTGGCATATTATCCATAGGGACTTTGGGTTAGTGGGGGGGCGGAGGGGATGGATTGTTTGATGAGTGAATGACTAACTGCATGACAGTTTAGCCAGGGTATGTGTATGTGTGTGTTTGTGTGTGGGTGGGTGCTTGTGTCTGTGTGGTTTACATGTAGGGGTTGATCACTTTAAGTATTGACAACGTTGGACGACTGCAAGTCGTATACATAATGTTCGGGTGTGTGTGTGTGTGTGTACTTGAGGTTCCTCTTGGTTGGTTGGGGGTGGGCAGGGCCTGTGGCAGTTAGTTTAATATTTATTTAATTTAATATGCTAATTGGATGTGATCTGTGCATACGTGTGTGTGTGTCTATGTCCTGTCCTGTGCTGTGCTGTAAGAGCAGCAGCAGCAACAACTTTACGAGCGAACAATTCATAAATAAATGAATACGAAAGTTTTCACATGTCAACGAATTGAGTTTGTGTGTGTGTTCAGTTTAGTTCCCCCTCACTGCTTCATTCTTGGGGCAACTACAACTATAACTACTGCTGCTGCTGCTGCTGCACCACCGACTTTTATAAATCGTTTTGAAAAATTTGCCACCAAAGACGGAAAATGCTGTCAGCAGATAGCAGACTTGTGCCGCAAGGCACCAGCCACAAGCGACGACAAATTGTTTTTGCGATAAGATGGGACAAGTGACATGCGGCTCTAATCGTTTAGAGCACGGCCCCCAAAAGGGGCGCGTTCCCATTGCAACCTAAAAGGCTGCCACTCCGTTAACGTTAATTATATTAAAGTGAAGCAGAGGCAGAGACAGAGACAGACACAGACTAAGCTGCCATGCTGTACATGGCCTGACCGTTGCAGCAATTGCATTAAAAGTGTGAAAAATAGCAGTGCACTTGCATACATATGTAATGCACCACGGACCCCCCACACCCCCCCAGTGCCCGCAATGCTTTCTGCATTCTGCAATCAAATTGAATTTGTCAAACGATATAAATAAATGGTTTATCAAACGAATTGCAAAACTCTGCTGTCAGCGGGAAATGGAATTGCATGCCAAAAAGTATGCAATGAATTATACGCGAACGGACAAAAGGAAAATGTAACAACTCAAAAACACACCGGGGCCGGGAAAAAAACTCCAGCTGCAGAAATAGTACAAATAAAATCTTAAAAAATACATATCGAAAATATGTATATAAAAAATTCTGCAGCGCTGGGAAATGGTTTTTTTTTTCTGTTCACAAATTGTAGGGTGTCCAGCGCAGAATGGTGGCGTGGCAGCGGTATGCTTGGTTTGCGGCACACATTTGGCTGCACTGGAAAGCAGAGTTGGTAAAGTTATGAAAACTCGTGCCACTCGGAGCTCTCCCCACTGGCTTTTGTCCATATGTCTCACTCCAAAGTATTGATGATGTAATTAAATGAAAAAAGGGGGGACGACTGCTTTTCTATCCATCTATCTAACATCAACAGCAGGAGGAAATTATGGAAAAATATGTACCATGCTGAAGGATTTGAATGCATATATTTTGGACGAATTCTATTCATAGAAATGTTCATTCATGTATTTCTGTGTGGTGCAACATTCTGATTGCATTAGTTTACGTAAAATCTACATTTTTGATGGAGTTTCATGTTGAGAAATATTTTATTTTGTGTTATTTTGGTATAATTTGTATCTATGATATTTATTATTGCATGTAAATGAAATATTTTGACTTGACTTGGAGTCGATAATTATTTTTGGTGTAGTTTCCTGGTCTATTTTCGCTGCCCTGGGCTGTTGTTCCATTGTGAGCCTGGTCTATTCCGGTGTAGGGCATTCGTTGGGCTTTTAAATCCAACTTTCTCATTGTTTATCTCTGCTGCTGATGCGTACGTTTTTCTGCTTTTCCCTTGGCACCTTTTTGTGCTGTATTTTTCATACATATGTGAAGCACAAATAATATGAATTTAAATTGAAGCTAAGAAAATAAAAAAAAGGGAGAACGACACAAAGAAGAGCGTCAGCAGCGGCTCGTTGAACTGTGAAAAGTAGACGGGAAGTAGCGAAAATGATGCACACTCGCAGGCGAACAATCGCAGTCCCAGTGCCATACAGTAAGCGACATGCTGCGAAAGTCAGTCAGTCATCAAGTCAGTCAGTGAGTGAGGCAGTCACTGTGCCAGCCATATTGGCACAGTGAATGGGTAGCGGGTGCGTGCGTAAAGTGATTCTCGATAGGAGGAAAATGTATGCAAAATAAATGCACACACGGTACACGCCATCGGATGGAGGTTCCACCTCCTGAAGAGCGGCGTAGGAGAGACTTGTTGAGCTGCAGACCCGCTACCCGTTACCCGTTACTCACTCTCATCTATGACCCGGGCGCTCCATTCGTTTTGTTGTATGTACAGCATACTCGTGCCAGTAAGAAATTGCAATTGCTTTGCGCAAACTGACATTGACAGCCTCTGGCATGGAATGGTGGAAAATGAGGGGGACTGGAGCCGAAGCTGGAAGCTGGAGCTGTGGCTGGCCTGCCACTCTGTTCCCCATCAATTTGAATGACATTCACAAACAGCAAGCATACAAAAAGAAGGAAATATATACACGCATATATGTATACTATATACAAACACATATACATATGTATGTATGTAAGTACAAGCAGAACAAAATGAAAAAGAAAATTGTGACATTTGTATAGAAATAGTTTTGCAGTTGTAGCAAATAGTTTTGCAGACATTTTTTGATTGCCGCATACTTTAAGGGGTTCGAGGCAGTCAACCAGAATGGATGCCAGTGCAATTTTCCGAGAACGAATAAAAGTGAAATATTATTTCGGGGGCTGGGGCAGATTTTTAGCACTGCTCTGAACAGAGCTTTTGGTTTTTAATATTTTAATAAGTCAACCAGCAATATACTCATCCACTTTTCATTATCAACAAGCATAAATATTCGTACATATGTATATATATATATGGGTACATAAGTATATGTATATGCACGACTTTCCATGTGCTCGTTCTCCTGGCCCAAACGATGCCATCTTCCACATGAGCTGGCATCCGTTGCTTGCGCATTTTGCAGCATTTTCAAAAGGTTAATTTTCCAGTTATCAAATAAAAGGCCAGGCGTAGCCATGCCAGCAGCTGGCTGTTTGCTGTTGGCTGTTGGCTACACACATGCTTGGCAAATAGTTTTGACAGCCATCGAGAGAGTGAAGGATGATGCTATGGGATGGAATAGGAGGGGGGAAACTGCACTGCTAGTTGGCATCCCAACCTCCTTCGTACGAGCATTTTCCACAGCATTTTTCTTGTAATAAGTTTAGCTCTAGAGTGCCGTGCCCGGCATGCCCCGCAAAGCGAACAATTTTCTGGCAGAACTCGTTTTGCATTTTAGCATTTTGCTTGGCTGCTTTGGGGCCAACAAATTTTGTTTTTTATTTTATTTGTATTTTGCTTGTATATTAATTTTAATTTGAAAACATTAAGCTACGAAATCAACTTAGGGTTAGGATTTAGATTCAGTTTCATTTATGAATTTAATTCTTCTTCTCGGTTAGATTGTAGATTTGCTTGGCAACATCCGACAGCTGGACATCAATGGCCTTGGTGTCGTCGTACAGCGAGGGTGCCTCGCCCAGGATCACAAATGTGCCCACCAGCGACGCGATCATGAAGAGCCACAGAAAGAGCCGATCCATGACCATGGCCACAAAGCCCCAATCCTGATCCTCCTGCAAAATGGTAAATTGAAAAAAAAAAGAAACACACTTTAGTCAGTCGAACGAAAGCGAATGAAATATGGCAGCTAATTGAGCTTTGAGCCCGCACTTTGAGCGATTGGCTTTCATTAGGCACTTGGTTCTTAATCTACTTATGCCCGGCATCAGTTCGGTTATCAATCACAAGGCAAAATCGAAGTGGAGTCGAGCAAAAATGGGGGGGAAAAAAGCAGACCAAAGCAAAGGAGCCAACAACAAAAAAAAGACAGTGAAAAGCCCTATGGGGCGCACAACAAAGAACATTTTCGGGTTGTTTGATTGAAACGTTTGGCTAAGCTCGCTCCCGCCGCCCCCACAGATGAAGTGGGGAATGTTGCATGAGATGAGGGCTACCTACCGGAGGCTGGCCACTGGCCACTGGCTACGGGATGGCTGCTGCGCCAATTGCCAGTCAATTGAACAAAAGCAATTAAAAGTGGATTTGCCGTGCCGTGCCGAACCGAACCGAGCCGAGCGCTCTTAAAGTGCAAATATGAGAAAAGCTTAAATAAGTCGACAAAATAAAGCTAGTCCCTGCCAAGCATCAGAGACAGGGAAAAGCGATTTTTGCGGTTTTTCTTTCTCCGGCTCCAGCATCCAGCATCGGGCAGAGCCTGTGCCTGGATTCTGGAGCCTGCGACCGACAAACGGAATTTCCAATTAAAAATTCAATCAGCTGCTGCTGCTGCTGCTGTTGCTGCTGCTTCTACCAGACTCACCGCATTGAACTCGTCCTGCCGCTGCATGTGATGCTGTATGAACATGACGTTGTGGATGGCCTTCTCCAGCTCGAAAGGATACTTTTTGCGTGCCGCCACATCGCTCAAAGAGTCGTCCAGGCCGGACAGCACCGATGGCAGGCCGTTGTAGCCGCTCAATGTGCTGAGGCCGCCACCCAAAGCGCCCACCAGGCCGCTGAATCTGTAAACGTGAGACCACATGTCCGCCCACTGTCATAAGGTGCAGGACAGGCTGCGAGGGCTGACCGAGAGGAACATCTGTAAGCCTTTCGGCCTGTGGCCAAGCTTCTTGCGAGCAGCCCTCGCACATGGATTGTCTGATGGGATAAGATATCTTACCTGTTGGTGGCCGTGGTAACATGCATGCCAGTGCATCCCCCCACCCCGACACGGCCTTGCATGCGCCGAATGGAGTCCGGACTGGAGCCGCCCGAGTTCATTTGCATCTCATCCATCAGGGCCTGGCCGAACTTCGACTTGCTGAACTTCAGGCCGTAATTGATCTTATTAGCGGCCAGATCACGCAGCAAATCCTTGGGGACACGCATCAGCAGAAACTTGGGCAGCCGCTTGATGAAGAACGAGCGTATCCAGGGCCGCATCTTGTGGGTGCTCGGCTTCCGATAGTGTATATTGAGTATAATGATGGTAATGACGACGCTCAGCCCCACCAGCAACATGGTGAAGAGTAGGTACTTTCCCAGCAGCGGCAGGGCCAGCGACGTTGAGGGTATAATCTCGGATATGAGCAGGAAGAACATGGTCTGTGAGAGCAGAATGCTGATGCAGAGCGCAATCTTTTCGCCAGAGTCCGCGGGCAGATAGAAAACGAGCACCGACAGGTAGGAGATGCCCACGCACGGAATGATCAGATTAACCGTGTAGAACAGAGTCTTTCGCCTCAGTGTAATGTTGAAGAAGATATCTGGAACAGTCCAACAAGCGATATTCCAGCAGCGGCAGCAGCGGCAGCAGAACAAAATAAAAGGAAGATGGAGATTTTTTTGGGGGGTGGGTGGAGGGAGGGAAAAAAATTGTGTGGGATGAGTTTGGGTAGAGCTTTCGCGTAATTTGATTGTCGGCGATTGTAAGCTTTAAACTCCACAAAACTCACCCGGATACGGTTCGGCACAGCACGGATAATATTTCTCATGCCGCTCCGCTGGCACGCCCAATATGTCCCACTCGACACTGGGATAATACTCGCGCAAATCAATGCCAATCTCCACTTTGTTGTCCTTGTCGTTCTTCTGGCTGATGTGCTTCAAATCGATCTGCAATATGAGAAATAACCGTTGAATCGTTGATGGAGCCGTTAAAATCGCCATCGGCCATCGGCCATCGCCAAACCCATCGCCCTAACAGCGTTACAGCGTCAAAGGCTCTTAAAGCCAACGGGCGTGACAACTTCATTCCCGTTGGCAAGTCAACGTTCCTTGCCTTGCCAGGCTCAAGTGCAGTCGTTAAAAGAGTAGCGAAAATTTAAATGCGTTGACAAACGCTTCGCTTCGCTGCTCTACGCTTCGCCAGCGTGGCCAAGAAGGCGACTGCCTTGGGTATTGTGTGTGAACGTGGACTCAGGTCCGCAGGGTCAGCGGAAGTGGAAGTAGCTGAGAGTCGCACTTTGGCTTAATTTATGGCCGCGCATTTTTATGACAGCGACACACAGTTCAGAGAGAGAGAGAGAGCGGAGAGCAGAGGGAGAGCTCTTGCTCTTGTGACTTGCTCGCTCACTCTTAGTAAATTTATGTGTGTGTGTGTGACGGTTAGACAAGTTTCAATTACACTTTTACAATTTCTCACATTTTAATCTGAAGAGAGACGCCCCCGCCGCCGCCGCCACCGCCACCGCCACCGCCGACGCCTTTTCGATGTTCTCACGGCATCTTAGGCTTGTAAGTCTTTGGGCTCTGCCTCCCTAGATAAATGGTTGCCCATAAATCGCCAGCCACGCCCATTTATCTAGTAGCAGAGCATGTCGAGTGGCACGCAGCAGAAGGAGGAGCAGCAGCAGCAGTAGGATAGTAGCATGGGCCATGGGCCATCATCACTTACCTGATCACCATCATAGGTCCAGGAGCCGAATTTCATAAAGCAGGTCTGCTGATCGAACGGAAAGTAGCGGACATCAATCTCGCAGCTGGATTTGAAAATGGCAGGCGGTGTCCACACCACTTTGCCCGTGTAATGGAGTATGGCCTTGGTCATGGTGGTTACCACATACTCCCCATCGGCACTGGCAACAAAGGTTGGCGCAAAGTAGCAGGAAAATACATGTGCATGGATTTCGGGGGCAGACTCACTTATTGTAGAGAACAATGTCGGGTAGCCAGATGTGCTCGGAGGGCACATAAAGCTCGGTAACTCCGCCATATTCGGAGGGATCCCATTTGAATTTATGATCCTGCCATTCATGCTCCAGCCAGACGTTCGTCGTTAGAATTTGATCTTTCAGATTCTGCAAAATGAAAACCAAACATTCTCATGCTCTATGTATATACCACAAGCCAAAAATAACGAGAAGGAACGTGTGAGTCGCTTCTGGGGACGCGACTCTACTTATACCCGTACTGAGTCAGTATATACATTTTTGAGCTTATAATTTTTTAGAATTAAAAAAAAAAAAAAGACTATATATACTTTATGGGGTCGGAAACGTTTCCTTCTCTGCGTTACACACATCCACTTTTACCAAAAATCTTAACTCTTTTTTGAGTACGGGTATAAAAATAAATAAGAGTAGTAGTCGTCAGGGGCTAAGGCCCAGTCATGCATCAAGGGGGATTTGCATTTTATTTTTATTTCATTTTTTTTTTTTTTTGTGCGCCGTGGCAGTTCTCTATATCATTTGCACTTCTTCTGCATGGCATCTCGTCTCGTACCCGGCTAATGTGCTTTTTGCTGTCAGCTTACGCTTTCGTTTCCCTTTTTGGCTTGTTTTATTACCTTTTAAGCCTTTTGGTGGCTCGGTTGCCACACCGCACCGCACAGCACACCACCCATTGGCTGCCATGCAGCCGGAATTGCAGTCCCTGACAAATGGCTTCGCAGGAGGAAACTTAAAGCGAGCGCAGACAACATTATGCTTCAGTTTCAGTATACGTATACCGAGTATTCCGTGTAATGAAATGTTCCAAGAAAATGTTATCAAAATCTACTACTCACTGTGTCCCAGTTGCTGCTTCAAGTTTGAGAAATGCGGATAATTTATCTGGTGGGGCAGCCAGTAACCAGTGCTGACAGGAATAAAGCTGAGATGTTCAGCATTGAAATATTCAACTTAAATGGGGAAAAAGGAAACCCCTCAACGCTCAGCACTCAGCTTCAGCTTGGGACAACTTGAGAGTGTCATTAGAACCCCTCATAGATCCGCTTTGGCCAGACCCGGACTCGCCTCATTTGTTGCTGTTTATTGCTTAGCATATTTTATTTACGATCCGTGGAAAGTTGCTGGCAACTTTTTGTTTTGTTTTTGCTGTTGCTGTTGCTGGCAGCGCAAATGTAGCGCATCGATGCCCCATGGCTTCTCCAATACTTTGGGGTGTGGGAATTAATTAAAAATTCTGTCAATGCCAGTGCCCCAACTTTCAGCAATTGCATTAATTTATTCGACCCACCCCATCATCCCGCTTGGATATTAATGTACTCACCAAATCGATGAGTTGCGACAGCCGCAGACCCAGCTTGACCAGCACCGTGTCCGTGTTATTGCTGACGGGTCGAATGAGGCGATTATAGTTGCTCAGCAGATCGTCATAGAGCCGCTTGGCGTCCGGATTGCAATGGACTGTTTCGCAGAGCAGCAGAAACACGACCAGCAGGCAGAGTAGCTTGCAGTGCTGCCACATGGCCGAGAGCATGGGTGCCAGTTGTGGGCGTGAGCAGCGCGCCATGACGTCACACGCCGCCTTCTGTCGTAGAAGAAGGCCTTGACGGCGGCCGGGCCGGTCTTTTACGGGTATTGATACACAACACGCGCACAGGTTTTTGTTTACCTTTTTGGCTGTTCAGCTCTGCTCTGTGCTGTGCTGTTCTGTTGCCTCTACAATCTCTGGAGTCTCCTCCGGACGACGTAGCTCTGACGTAGTTCCGAGCGACGCGACACCGAGAAGAGCGAGTATTTTTTGTTTTTTTTTTTTTTGTGTTTTAGCACATGAGCTAAAAGCGTTTAAAAGTCTCCAAGTCTCGGGGAAGATACAGCCACTGCCTGCCGCTGCTGTTGCCGCTGCTGTTGCCGCTGCTGCTGTTGCTGCTGCTGCTGTTGCTGCTGCTGTTGCTGCTGCTGCTGCTGATTTTGACGTCGGCGCAGACGGCCGGTCCTCATCCGCTCAGAAACCTGAAAGAATCAACTGCTCTGACGGGAACTGGGAGCTGGAAACTCCCGTTTGCCACAAAGATGAAGCCAGCTGCGCCCATGCAGCTGATTGTTGTTCGTCCGGCAAAATGAACCAAAATAAATTTAAACTGCACCAAAAAATTTTAATTTTTCACTGCGAATATTGTTCCAAAAATATATTGAAAATATTTGCAATATTTGCGCTGGATTTGTTCTTTTTGAGAGGCAGACTTTCACTGAATTTCACCAAAACTGCTGCAGTCTGGCTGTGTTCGCTCCGTGCTGTCCTGCATAGATATTCACAGAATTCATACTGATGTGCGTATTGTTTTTGTAGCCTTGCAAGGACCTCAGTCGGCAGTCGGCAGTTGGCAATCGGCAGCCGCAGCCTCTGCCTCTGCTTTTGTAGCTTTGTCGCTTGGTCCAAAAAGTCTCGATTTGTGGCGCCACAAATGCTGCGCAGCGCCTGCGCCCTGCGTGTGTCACCCTGTTTTCGTGTGCGGCAGCCAAGGGGTCGGGCAGTGAAGAGTCAGTCGGTGTATCAAGTATTGCTGTGGCCCTGTAAGCCGTTATTCACTTAGTTACACACAGCATCTAAGCCAAGCCCTAGTCTCTGCACATTCGCTCTCTTTTTGCATCGTTTACTCTCGGGGCATCGTCTCTCTCTTTTTTTTTTGGTGGGGGGGGGGGTGGTGTCGGGTGTCTCTCTCTTTGGTTGGTTATCCTCTCGACTCCATTACAACTTTAAAAGCAGCGTGTTCTCTTTATTCTTATATATATATATATAATATTTTTGTGAGCTCTCACTCTCTCCCGCGATTCGTATGAGCCACAGCCCAAAAAAATTCCCCTGCTAACACTGAAAAAGTAAACTTCACCAATACACCCACATGCACACACACACACATACACACATGCAAAGATATACGTACACTTGTACACATACCGTTGCACATTTGGCAAACACTCATACGCCCTCCCCCCCCGCACTCCCGTTAGCTCCCACTCATCCTTGGCACATTTCGTTTAACCAGAAACCAAATTTTTCGTAATTGTCAACATTCGTTAAAATCTACGTTAACATGCAGCCAGACTCGGCCACGACACGCACCCATACACACACACACACACACACACACACACACACTAATACTCACACCCCCCACCCCCCACCCCCACCCCACACATACACCTTTCAGCACTTGTGCATTTTACATGTTTAACGTTGCACTGCTGCCCGTGCCACACTCCCATTCCCATTCCCAGTACCAATACTCCAGGCTGTGGGCTTGGGTTTTGGGGTTCGGTTTTTGGTTTCGTTTCGTTTGGTATTTTGCTGCGTCTGTTCACATATGTGTCATATTGCGATTTTGAGTTGTTTCTGTGGTTTTGGTTTTGCCACACCAGCCACACACACCACACACACCCATAGCACCCATAGTACCCATAGCACCTATGGCTGCATCCATAGCTGCTGGCTGGCACACGGACATGTAGCTGCTCGGTGAATTCTTTCGTTTGCCTTTACCCAGTAATGTTGCTCACTCTGATGACAACTATGTGGCACTGGCAGCTGATGGCACCATCCTGCGGCTTTGACTACCTTTTCTGTTTCGTGCAGTTCCCAAATTTAATTATTGGCATATGATTGAATTTAAGCAGGGTTTCTTCTTCATTTTTTTTTGCACAACTGTCGTATCTGTTTTAATTGAAATTTACAACGTTTTTTTTTGAACCCATCAATTATTCGGTTTCCCATTCAAACGAAGAATCTGCTTCAATTTGTATTCACTCGGGACAACTCTTATGGCAGAATTTGGCAGTGCCAAAAGTGGTTTACAGAAACTTTTACCCTCCAGGACTCCAGGACTTTGCCTGGATTTCGTTGCGGAGTTGCTGCTGGGACCACATTTCGGGTTCGGTTCTTTTTTTGTTTTTTTTCTGTTCTGTGTGTTTTGTTGGTCAGTGTTGTTGGAGCTCCCTGGCTGCCATAATGATACATGAACTCTGTCATTTGGTTGGCCCCGCCATTGAGCCGCGTGTGTTTTATGGCTTACGGTCATTGAAGGCGCTTTTAGCTCTGCTCTGTGATTGTTTTTTTTTTTTTTTTGTCAGATTGGTCACATCAGCGTTTTTTTTAGTTCTGGCGGGAGATTCAATGAGTCATTTGGGTGCGCCTGCTGCTGCTGCTGTGCTTTGTTGGAGACAACTTTAATCTACTCTATTAGCTGGTTTATTGCTGTTTTTTTTTGTGGCCACCCTTTAGTCATTGTACCCGTCCTTTGTTTGAGCCTCATTTGAATGAGCTGATGATGCTGCTGCTCCTGTTATTGCTTTCATTAGCCAACTCATTTCTGTGGGAGTGTTCCAGTGACGAACAAAACAGCGGCAGCGACTATGGCATGTTCCTCATGTTTTATTGCCACACGCACACGCACACGCACACCCAAGCACATGCACACTCACTCACACACACTCGCACACAACAAAGCAATCAAAATTACAGCAACAATCGTTTGCCACAATGGCAAACAACAATTTTTAGCTTGTTTGCAACTGAAACTTTTATTTGTATTGCCCCTCCCCCACCCACCTATCCTTTTTTTTTAGTATTTTAGTTTCTATTTTTTTTCTATTTTTTTTTTTTTGTATTGTGAAAAGTTTTTGCCCTGATAAATCAACAACAACAACAAAAAAGGAGTCAGAGTCGAGAGTTGTGAGAGAAAATACCCTGCAAATTGATTGCGCATCAATAGGGGCATATCTATCCACACTCACATTGTTTCCTATGGCATTAAATGTGGTAACTGCCACCACCTTCAGCATGGTACACAAATGAATAAGTTAACAAAACCTTTTATACATATATACGTATATATATGTGTGTATGTACGTGGCCTTAACAGCCAAAGTTTAGGGCAAAGTTGAGGCCAACACCTGACTGCCTGACTGCCTGACTTTTCGACTTTCAACTAGCTTTTTGCTGACCTGACCCCACAGCTCCCACAGCTCCCACTCCCCCCCCACTTTCAGCTTCACTTCCTGATTGCAAGAAAACTCAATTAAAATTTAAATTTTCGAACGTAAATGACAAAAGTTTCTCAACTATAAATAATCGGCAGTCGCTCCACTTGGCCTGCTCTTGGTTTTTGCCATGCCACTTCAAAATCTGACAAAGCCGCGACCAGTAACCCCCTTCCCCCCACTGAAAGAGCGCTCTATCAGGATAGACCTCCCCCTGCCTCAGCCCCCTGCCCCCTGCCACCACTATAAAGTGCGTGCGTGGCTGCGTGATCGAAAGTTTTTGTCTATGTTCGTACAATTTAGCCAACTTTTATGGCAGCCACAGAAGCAGCAACAACAGAACGTTTTCCTGCTTTGGCCAGAAATTAATTGCAAAACTGTTTGGTGTCTCTCTCTCTACAAGTACATATATAACCCATACTCGTAGACAGATAGATATACATATATACGAGGTGTGTGTGTGTGTGTGATTCCGGTTCTGTTTGGTTGTGGCAGGCCAATCACTGGGAGGGGTGGTACCCACTTGAAGAGCATAAAACTGATTGCGAAAATCTGTGCCGCGCAAGTGGGAGGTGAAAACAAAAAATTGGGTGGCACCTCCGCCACTGCCCCCCTGCTCCCTGGATAGCCTGCTCTGCTCCTTTGTTCATCAATTTGGGTGGCTGCTGGTGCTGCGCTTGTCGGGCCCATTGTTGACACGTTTAAGTGCCGTTTGCTTTTATCAGCACTGTCCACATCGACAAGCGACAGCCGACAACCGACAGCCAACAACAGACAACCGACACACCGACACTCAGACCGATGACTGAGGACTGAGGACTGAGGACTGACGACGACCTGCATATAACATTTTTATAACATTTTTAATTGTTTTTGTCGACTGTGAGTTCCGTGGAAAGCGCTGAAAATCGTGCAAGTCCCGACGACCCATCAATTTAATGGCGTTTTCGCGTGGGCCGCACAAACACAAACAACAACAAACAAAACCAAAAAAAAAAGGGAAAAGGACAAGAAAATCAAAGCCAGAGGCGAGAACATTCATTGCAGAGCTGTCGGTTGGCAGCTCTCGTGGTGCCCGATCCCTGGATTCTGTTTTTGGGTGTTCGCCCGGTCCAGTCAATTAATGGAGATACCCGTTTTATGACGAGCAGTGACAAGTCGTGTTGAAAATGGAGGCGCATTACACGCCCATTGGTGGCGTGTTTATGGCCCCGTAAAATTGCCGCTCGACATAAAAATGTTGCATAGTTTTTGGGCCGCTAAGCGGATGTCATTAATTGCGCATTAGTTTTTCACGTTGGCAAAATCAAAGCGAAATTTGAGTGCGCGCTTGTCGCAGCCACCAAGGCGTATGCGCAATCTAATTTGCCAGTGCTCTGAGTGCTGCTTGCCACTTGAGCTGCTGATGACTTGGTGGTTTCCACTTGAATTGTCGTGGAATCCTTAACTGCGTATGTGATTGAGATTTAAGTTGCCAGCCGCAGCCCAACCCAGGGCAAAGCGGCAAATAATAATGGTATAACATTATTATTATTATTATTATTATAATATTTTCGAGCAGCAACAGCAGCGCCAGCCACGCCCTTCAGCTTAACCACACGTTAACGCCCACGCAGTTTCACAAAAGAAATAGAAGGAGAATCACAGAGCGAGATAGAGAGAGAGAGCGAGAGAGAGAGTTATCTGTTTGAGTGCGAGTGACGTGGAGTCATCAGGCTTCTGACTTAACAACTTTTTACTGACAAGTTTCAATGATCCGCTTTGTGTGCGGGACGCGAACGCGTTTTACTATGAATACTTTGGCAAGTTTTTGCCTTTGGAACGACCGACCGGCTGGCTGGCTGGCTGGCTGGCTGGCTCATTGTCGTTGTCATCATCAGCATTTCTCCTTTTGCTGCAGGGCCAGCCATGCCACTCTTCTGTCTCCTCATCTGTGAGATTTCCAGCTTGGCTGCGGAGTGTGATTTGCCAAAGTCACTGGAAACATGCAAAATAAATTAACTGTTACAAATGTGGGTGTGGGCGGGGGCGTGGCTAATCGGGCAACAGCACAAAGACATAAGCCTGATGGTTTTATGACTGGAAATCAGCCAGGAAGAGCTTCAGCAGAACCTACTACACACTAACCATTTGATATCCCCCGTTTAAGTTCATTTGTCACACTTGCTTCATTATCATTATCCTCCCTGGGAGTATCCGAACTGTTTAGTTAGCTCCTGCACAGATCCAACAACTTCTGGGTAAATGTTTTGCCAACTTCTAGCAGGACTC